TGATAATACTCTGTCCTAGTCTCTTCACTACAACCCAACAATATAAGAGAGCCTAAACTAATTATGAAATTGAAACTTCAAAGATAGGTAAATTCAATTTCATTTAAACTAAGTAGAGAGGGCCCCTTTCAAACTAAAGTGTAAATTGATTCAAAAGAGAGCGTAATTTACTAGATGAAGTTGTGTGAAAACAAACCGTAACTTTGTGGTATCTCGTTTTATAATTTCCAAACTCTTCGTCTGTATATCAATTAATTTATTTAAATCAACGATCACGAATCTTAATGGTAACTTAGAGTAATGGACAATGAAAATTTTCAATAATTGAATATATATCATCTATTGTCAGTCTTTGAGTTGGCTTCCTATATATCGAGATTGTACTTAAACAAATCATAATAGAAAATTTATATTATCTTGGTTGAATAAAGGCCATGGACATTCTTAATGAAATATGTTTATCATACATTCTTTTAATTTTGGCTGCCTTTCCCTTTGATCTATACCTGAACCAAAATTTCTCAACTTTTAAGCCTTAAATTTTACAAATAGTTTTGTTTTGGTTCATTTAAACACTTTCCAAAACCTATTACATTGTACTATTCTTGTACCGTGCCCATTTGCTGAGATGTTTTATCAATTATTATATTGTCTAATTTGTTATTAACACTTAACTACTTTTTACATTATAATTTTTCATCGTGATTCAAATCATATATATTAGGAAATTTTTTATGAATTGTTAAATATATTTTTCTCTTTAAGGTTTCTCAACCGACACACTTTTATTATATAAGAGTGACACACTTTTATTATATAAAAGTGATATATGTTTGTTTTCATAGTTGGGTGCTATTTGGGATATTAGAATGTGTGATCTTTAGATTCAAAATCACGGGGAAGTCGAAAAGCTCTTTGTGACTTTTCCTTACCCAGAAATTATCCGACACGACAGGGAAGTATACGGCAGCACCTCCTCCGGTGGCACTCCGACTCCCTCCGGTGATATTTTTAAACTTTGGCGATACCTCAATGCCCAAAATCCCACAAATCCAAGCTTTATTTCTCGATTCTATTTCAGATGTGGCTCCCGTGCCTTCTTCTTCCTCCAAACCGAACCCAACAGATCACTCGTTCAAGACCCCTTAATTTAAACACTGCTTCAATTTGAACTTTGTCCAAACCCCAAATCACCAAACCTCACAAATCTAACTCTGCCAACAAAAAAGCCTGCCAATTGATCACCTGATCGATGATATTGACCGCTTTAGGGCATGTTATGTGTTCGTAGTAGAAGGGTATATTTGTTCAAAATACTAGCATAAGGGTACGTTTGTTAATTTGCAATTATTAGAGGGGTATAAAATGATATTAATCCAAATCAATAATAATATCATTGGATTAAGTCATTGTTTGTACTTTGATGCCTTAGTTATTGATCAGGCTGAAAAGTTTGGATTTCCACAAAAACATTCAATGATTCAAATACTAGTCATGAATTATCAACCCATGTTAATGCAAACTTCCAATCAGTGTGTTTTAACTTTAACTTCCAAACAATGTGTGTTATGTTTAACAAAAAAAACGGACAAATGATAGGCATAAAGTGGACGTGCCGGAGTGGTTATCGGGCATGACTAGAAATCATGTGGGCTTTGCCCGCGCAGGTTTGAATCCTGCCGTCCACGTTTAAATTATTTTTTTTTTCTCGACACTATTGCAGTCTCAAAAGCTGAACCCAAAACAATCTGAACATTGATTTATCACCCAAACTGAACTCTACCCACAATGGCACAATCCTTCAGTCCCTGCTGCAGACAACCCGAATCCATTTCCAAGCAAAATCCAATCCATAAAGAAAGAAACCAAAAAGTAACCGCGCCACCAAATTTTACATATTATACCTTGGCAAGAAACCAGACCAAAACGAAACGATGCAATGAAAAAGAAGAAAGGAACTTCAACTTCCCTGAACCATTTTGTCATTGCAGTTTCAAAACACTTTGGGCCGCTTCTCAGATCCATCTTCGTCCCATCCCTGAGCAGTCTGCCATAGTAACACAGCTAATGAGGCCGTGGGAGTTCGATATAAGTGGGCTGAAACTTGGGCTCGATACAAGCAATTGGCCCAATCGGTCTAATTATCGTTTTTATTGATCTTTTAGGTACAGAAAAATCCAATTGGGGCACACACCAAGTCACCAATTCATTCTATTCTCAAAAGTAAGATAGTTTGCAACATATTTTTTCAAACAAAAACTTTTATAGATGAAAACCCCAATTGTGCGGCCTGTAAATTGACAAATCGAAATGGATAGGTATACCCCTTCGATTTGAATTCTCAATCTAAGTTTTGCCGAATTACTTTAATATATATATGCTACCATTGACAAAAACATTGCAGCAACACCTTGATTAAATGAAAGATGGATACATAATATAATTCTATGCTACATTTTGCTGCTGGGCACATGTTATGTTCTCTGTTGCTTCCTTTCATTTCCCGTAAAATATGCTTAATTAGAAGTTCTCAGAAATGCACCAATTTAATAGTGCAAAAAATTAAACCGGGCTAAGAGAAAAGAAGATCGTTCATTAGAATAAGGGGATTATTGGAGGAATTAATTAGACCTGCTAATATAATGCACGTGGCCACTTAAACATATATGTGCACAAAATTGAGAACCTGGGCTGTCCATCCATTACACCATTAGCATTCCAGCTAGGCTGCTGATTAGGGTTTTAGTTCCTAATCTCAATTTAATTTCAACCCATGATCTTCCCACCAAAACAAGATCTTACAACTTTATGGCAAAATTTTGTACTTTGTTTTTTTTAGGTATAGATTTAACATATAGCTCCTCACTTATCCGTCATGTATAACTAATCTCCAGTTAAAGCGATTTTATATCCTTCTTTTTAACTTAGATTTCAAATTATCTTGATGATGGTCTAGAACCCCATACATTTACAAATCAAAGCTATAGAGCATACAAACTAGATTCTATCGCCAATTTTCTTTCAGGTGGAAAAATTGATTGGGATGTTAATCAAACCTGCTCATTTATTATATTTGATTAATGAAATTATAGATTACAGATCCCAATGAAATCTACAAGATTACAAAAGGTGATCCAAAAGAAAAACAAAACGAAAGGCTGCTGGTTTTCAACTAACCTTTGCCCGAATTTTTTTTTTTTTTTTTGAATTCATTAAACTATGGGTTGAGCAACTCAATGTGAAAACAATAAGAAATTTGAATCGATCAGGATTCAGATCACTGACATATACTGAAGTATCTGCAACTTGCAAAATAATTGTATCTGGTTGACAGTAATGCGCACCATTTTTACAACCACTATCCAAAACACTAGTTGTTGCCCTGTTGGATATTGAATATGAACACAATGTTACACCTTTGAATTTGGGTCATATGGTGTACCTTAACATAAAACAAAAAATTAAATTTCAATCGTTGTAATGTGGTTAATACAAAGATATGGCATAGAATTAACTAATTTATGCATTTTCAATCATCAAATTTTCCTCACTCTGATCAGTGGAAGAATTTGTAAATTTGTATCAAGTAACTTTCAAAAAACTAATTAAAATGCAAGCAAACCATATATAATTTCGCATAAATTTACACATTTTGCGTTATAGAATTGAAGACTGAAATGCCTCATTTGGTCACTGAGATTACTAAATTATATATGTCATGTTTAGGCACTAGAAAAAATTAATATCAATTTTGGTCACTCGAATTACTGAAACATGTCACATTTATTCACTCTCTCGTTAGTTTCCGTCCAACTCCGTTAATGGAGTTGGGCGGAGGCTAACCGAGAGTGACTAAATGTTACATGTTTCATTAATTCGAGTGACATTCACAAATAAAAAAGTAATTCGAGTGACGGAGTTTTACGGAGACTGACGGGAAAGTGACTAAATGTGACCTGTTTTAGTAATTCGAGTGACCAAAATTGATATTAATTTTTTGTAGTGACTAAACATAATACGATTTAGTAATCCCAATGACCAAATGTTGCATTTACCCACTAAAATTGTTTTAAAATGAATCAAAATGACGATTATTAAGTTGGAATGGATAACATACACACATAATCCTCTAGCCAATACCTTAGACATGCAATATGAAATATACGCACACAATTTGAAATATATAAAAAATTATATGTAAAATTTGTAACTAACAAATTTATAAAATAGAATTTAGAAAACATAATTTTCCTTTTTTACCCGTGCAGAGCTGGCTGGTACTGTGCATCGCATGGTCTCAAAATTTCCTAGAAACTAGGGGTTAGGAAAGTTCTCCTACAATCCGCGACTCAATTACAACCAAACAATTCATTGAGACCCTGACAGGTAGTCATCCACACTATCCGATGATTTTTAAGAGATTAGAGCATCTCCAATGGTGCAAGTGGAGGGAGTTGCACGCTAAGGTGGCAGCCATGTGCAATTAAAAAAGTGGATGGTATCGTTGCAAGACCACTTTCAAGTGGTGAAAATTTGCACACCATGAAAATCCAACATGCAATTGCAAGTGAGTCCTTTGTTTGTTTTTTTTTTCGTTCTTCTTTTCGCAACTATTTGTGTGGTATTAAAATGTAAGCGGGATCCAGAAGTGCAATTGCATTGGAATGACATTGATGTAGCTAGTATGAAATTGATGAGTGAAATAATTGCTAGAGTTGCTTAATTGGCAGTAGGGATCACACTTGAAAGTGAAGAAGGATTGCATTGTTGGAGATGCTCTTAGGTGCCTTATAACCCAACCGTACGTGGCAAGTTAAACTAGAACAATCTTTATCGAGAGTCCAACTATGTAGCTGATTGCTGGTTAGTCACATTACATTACATTACAACAGTAGTAGTCGTTGGATCGTATCTAGGGGTGTCCATTCGGGTTCGGTTTTTCGGGTTTACCCGAAACCGACCCGATTATATACATTTTAGGTTTTTCGGGTTCGGGTTTGTTTCGGGTTTCGGGTTTTTTGGTTTCGGTTTCGGTTTTGCTTACCGGTTTTTCGGGTTCCGGCTAAAAACCTCCAATGAATAGAACTCAACCCGTATTCTTAGGCGTTCGGGTTTCGGTTTTGCTTTAACCGAACCCGAGCCCGATAAGAAATTTTCGGGTTTAGGATAACCGGAACCCGCAAGTCCTTATCGGTTTCGGGTTCGGTTTTAGTGGTTTTTCGGTTTGGATTTTCGGGGTTTTTCGGGTTTCGGTTCGGGTAACCGAACCCGACCCGAACTGACACCCCTAATCGTATCGTTGTAGTAGTAGTGGGTTAGTCACATGAATCCCTTTTCTCTCCTCCTCGATCTTTCCATTCACAAGAAGCAACGTAACAGCCTCTCATCAATTTCTATATAATATAATTAATATTTCCTCTACTACTGCTACTGTTGCTGCATGTGTTGGTTGCGTTGTGCAAATCTCTAGTGTGCGGCTCCGAATCTACAAAAAATAACAAATCAAATAAACATGTATAACACATCGCTTTCGTAATAATAATGTAACACCAAAAAACGACCCTTAAAAGACTTTTGATATCCTTCCTTCCTCCACGTCTAACTCGAAATGGACCTTCCTGCACTATAGCACGACTGATGCATATGTAAGCGCATCCTCCTCCATGGCGAGGTAGAAACTCATCACACAACCCATCAGATCGAGTCTCGCGTCGCGCGCGTTTTACGTACGCAGAGGAGGAGGATGCACTTAACACACCATATCGAAGACGACCGCGGTATAGCTAGCTCTCTAGCTAGGAATGCTGGACATTTTTTCCTGTAACAAGTCAATGAGGGGGATGTATAGTCGCTAGCTGTACATTGTTGATGTGTATATGAAGGCGATATTTTGATGATCTATCAATTGTGTGAACAGTAGTAAGTTGAGAGGAGATGGGCGCATACATGAATCGGGAAAAAACTTTGAAGCAGCAAAGCTTGGCAACTAGTGTCGCCTTCACTGGAACTATATACACCATTTTCCTTTTCCCAACCCTACCCCTCTTTTTTTGTTCTCTTTCACAGTTTCCTTTCTTTTGCTGTTTGTCGTGTTTAGCAGTGTTGGGAATGCGAGCTTTGATGCCATTCCTTAACAAAGAAAACCATTTTTTCTTTTTTAACTTTCTGGGTTTTAATTCATTCATCCCTTTTATTAGCTGCAGAAAATTTGTCTCCCCTGACCCTAAGACTATCAACATAACGTAGGATGATAACATATAATCGTAATTCGATTAACACCGAAGAACTAGAGTACGATAGGGCTCAAAAAGCTTAATAAAAACAAAAATATATGTATGTATGTGTTTGATTGTCAATGCTGATATACTTAACAAGCAAGAAACTAGATGCCGACTCAGTAGTAACTCTCAAAAAACCAAAACAAAAAAAACCCAGAAGAGAGATTGATGATAAGAATGAACAAACTACAACCAAAATGAAAAGAAAAAAAAAATGAGAACATGGTATGTGAAAACTGTAACTAAAAAAAAAGGACACAAACCCCTTTTTCTTTATTCCCTCTCAATTCACTGGAGAAATAAAGAAAATAAAGAAAAAACAAATCAAAGGAAAAAAAATATATCAGTCACTTGAGACTCAAGAGCACCTTCTTCATCATCACCTCCTTAACCTCCTATTTGTTTATATGCACCCAAATATATTATAATTAAGCACCATCAGCACATGGGAGGAGGATTCTTTCTCTTTATAATCAACATTCAAAAATTAACAAACACTTGGGAGGAAAAAAATAATATTAAATTACCAAACTTTCTTCTTCTTCTTCTTCTTCTTCTTCTGCATGGTTGTGGGGAGAAGGTGGTGGTGGTAAAACTTTGTATGCAGAAGTTGCCATTTGCTAGCTAGTTGTACAATCAATATCCAATCTTGGCCCCACTTCTTCTTCTTCTTGTTACTAATCACTCTTCAACTTATCACCATTATCATCACCATCAAGTTCTCAATTGAACTGTTGGTGCTCAAGCCATGGCCAAAACCCAGACTGATCATCCATGCCACAGAGCATGGTGGTTAGGGTTTCCTCCTTCACAATCTGTTCAATGTTCTTGTGACACTGGAGGCCTAATTGAGGATGGTGTTGACTTGAAGATGAAGTGGTGTTGTTGTTGTGGAAAAGCTGTTGTACTAGACCAGATGGAGCTGATGGAGGCCTAACATTATTATGCTGTTGTTGTTGATGATGATGATGAGATGATGTAGTTGGGAAGAATGGCCTGCCACTGCTTGTTGTTGTGGTTGGGTGTTGACTTGATAGAGGGCTGTCAATGGCTGCTGGTGTCCTTGAGATGTCCAGCTTGATATCTGAGCTGCTCTCACTTCTGTTGCTGCAGGACCCTTCAGTCTCTTTGTTCAGGTTGATTGCTTCATGTGTTGGTCCCCTGCTTTTCAGTCCCAATATCTGCCCTCCCCACAAGAGAAGAAAACCCATAATTTGGGCCAATCAAGTCAGAGATGGATCATGCATGAAAAATGGCTCAGAAAAATATGAGTGAAGCTTGAAACTATGGCTTCAGGGTCAGTACTCAGTAATAATCAGTACCCTTTTCTCATCTTTTGACCATAGCAGAGAAAAGAAAGGAAAAAGTTTGCCTTTGGTGACAGGTAAATGAATGAAAGCTTTATAAAAAAGTCATCAATTTCAGGTTTTGAAGGTAAGTGATCATAATAATAGTCATCAGTATTGGATAAAAGTTCTGAACCCAAAATCATTGCAGAGAGGGGGGAGAAAAGTAAAAGAAGCTTTAACCCCTTGGAAAAGAAGAACATGAGTACATGACCATAATATGTGTATGATTGCAGCTAAGTTCCATTTCCATTTTCCAGACCCCTCTTTATTAATTGTGGCTTTCTTCCATGCAAAAAAAAAAAAAAAAAAAAGGATCAAATCCAGAATCACTAGAAAAAAACCCCAAAACCAGTAATTACCTCAGCATGAAGCTTCTGGTTGTGGGCTTGAAGAGCTTCATTATCAGCTTTGACAGCTTCATACTGTCTCTTCAGGACATCATAATCTTTCTCAAGCTGCTTGGTCTTCCACCTGGCCCTCCTGTTCTGAAACCAAATAGCAACCTGCCTAGGCTGCAGCCCAAGAGCTCTAGCCAGCTGCATTTTCCTCTCTGGTTCAAGCTTGTTCCCCAACTCAAAGTTCTTCTCCAATGTCTTCACCTGCTCCATGTTCAGCCTCCTCTTCTTCTCCCCTGCCTGTGACCCATCATCTGACAGCTCATCCAGCTGATCCCCTCCATGATTAACTCCATCTAACTCATGATCTCCAATCCCTGAACATGACATGGATCTCTTCCCCAGAAATGATGCCATCCCTGAAAGATCATAACAATTCAAATCAGCAAAAAAACCCAACTTCAGAATTTACCAAAAAAGGAAATCTGGAGATAAAAAGCTTTAATTAATTACCATGGAAGTCCTGTGGTGTGCAGGAAGGGAGCATTGGGTTGAGAGTAGTTGGAGGCTGGTGATGTTGATCTTCTTCTTCCTCATCATGATGGGTTTGGAGCATGAAGTTTGTTTGGAAGAAAGCCATCCCATTGCAAGTCATTGACTTTATATTATCCTAGCTCCTTGTAGTACTGGACTTTCTGCCACAAATCTCACAGGCAGTGAACATAGCAGTCTGGTTTTCTCATGCTTCCTGTTGTTGTGAAGAGATTGCAGAATGACTTTTTTCTCAGGATGTGTGATATGTGTAGCTTCCCCCTCCCCAGAAAGGTGGAATCTCGATCAAAAACTGAAAGAGAAAGAGAAAGAGAGAGAGGGAAAGATAGGAGGGAAGTGGTATTTGGGCAAAGAGGGTTGATGATATAGACAGCTTATATACCTTAGCTTATCAATTTCCTTGGAGAAGAGTTATTAATAGCTTCTCTTTCATACCAGATTTTGTGATGGAAAGAGGGGAATGGATGGGGGCTTTTATTAGAGTGAAGAAGGGAGAGAGAGAGAGAAAGAGGAAGGAGAGGGAAGGGGAAGATGGTGATTCTGTAGTTATGCTTCTCTATATATGAAGAAGAAGGAATCCTCTTGTTTTTCTGTGTGGGTTTACTGTTTCTTATATTATAAAAAGAATACCATCTTTAAATAAATAATAAATAAACTCTCTGAATACCAGTAAATAGTCAAATCAATCAACAGTACTCAGACTGTGACCTCCCTTTTCTTGAAGTAAGCAAGAACCTCTCTGGATTTACTTTTGTCTAGAGGATGAGATTCACCCACCCATTTTTCCCTTTTGATTAGAAGAGGATGGAAATATGTGTTCATAGATCAGCAAAGTAATAAAAAAAAAAAAAATGAGAGGACTGTCAAAGAACTGCTGAAATCATGTTCTCTGCAGAATTGTGCCAACTTGTGTGGGCTGTGTGATATTTTATAATGTATATTGCTTTGCTTAGCTGCCTCTGCCTCTGCCTCTGCCTGCATGGATGGAATGGTGGTGCTGGTGTCTGTGGCTCTGCCATGCAAATACAATATAGCAATGCAAAGAAAGTTCCACAAATCCCAATGTCATTTTCAAGGGGCATTAATCAATCTCTCAACCCTCTCTGCTTTCTCTCTTTTCATTTTCCTAATATGCTTTTAACAGACATAATAAACTAATTGCTGTTTGTTCTTAAGAAAGGACACTTGTTCCATAATTACAATACTTAATTCAATCATATTCCTCTTTTCTTGGTAACTCTGATGATTATTATATTGGGAACTTAATCTGAACTGGGTGACTCTCAGCTGCCACAGAGGGAAGGGAACTAATAAAGTAAAAAAAAGAGAAGAAGCAATCATCTCCAAATTATTGTTCACACTAGCTTGATCCTGATTATGATGAAAAACAATCAATGACAAGGCTAGTTGTTCTATCATCTATGCTATACTTTGTCCTCTACCTCTTATGAATAGAAGAAGAGATCAAAAAAGAAGGTGCTAGGATGGATTTAAGCTAGCCAGGAGGTTGCTTGCTTGAGAGTTGAGAGCTAAGTGACCAAAAAACTCATTTGGCTGCATCCTTCCTTTCCTTTCCTTTCCTCCTCTCAAATGGCCCTAGCTAGAGAGAGAGAGAGAGAGAGAGGAAAGGGCAATGCAGTGTAGGGAATCTAATGTGAGGAGAGAGAGAGAGATGGGTCCAATGGAAGAGAGGGAGAGGGGGGCAGAGGTTGCTACCTAACCCACCAACAGGTATCATGCATCAGGGCCAGAACCTCTTTCCCATCCCATTATCCCTCAACCCTTTCTTTCTTTCTTTCTTTCTTTCTTTCTTTCAATACTCTGATCAGTTTTCCTTCACCTCAGTCTCTCTGTCTTCCTTTGCGTCAATTGTGCAATGGAGAGATGGCTTTGTTGTGTGTTTGTGAAAGGGAAAAAGTCCTAGCAAAAAAACCCACTGGTCTTTTTTGTCTTTCTGCCCCCACTCACCTCTGCCACTCACTGCCTCCAAAATTTGGAAATGGCATTCGTCACCTTCTTCTTCCCCCCCATTCTCACCTCCCTAGCTCATTCCCATCAATATTCTAATACTAATATCACATGTTGCACAAGTTACTACCTTACCCTATCCTACTCTAGCTAAATATCATCACCATTCTTCCCCCCGGAATAACACGAATGTATGAAGGTTGTCACGACGTGCTTTTTTAACATTCGAGACGGGTTGTGTAGCCCGTGTTGATTGATTTCGGTCAGCACACATGTGATGGAAACCTATCTAATTATCGGTTAACCCCGAACCGGGACGGTTCGAACAAACCCTAGTACCGAAGATTGACTTGTCTCTTTGAACCTTGGCATCTTGCTAATGGCATATATATATATACATGTAGGTACAAATGACAATGATGATGATATGTTATGATTCTAGCTAGCCTCTGTTCCTTACATTGTCTTTAATCAATATTGCACAGCTCCTGTGAAAGGGATTGCTGTGTTCTTTCTCTCATGACAGTTGCAGTAGCAGGGCCGCCTCTCGACGATCATTTCATCGTGCACTGATTATCTCATCTGAATTAAAACCCTACCAATACGTGTGTAACCATGTGTAACTACAATAACAGTTGTGTTTTTTTTTCAATGACAGAATAAGTGCATGTCCTATCCTTACATAAAAAGCAGAGGCCCTCTTTCTTTCTTTCTTTCTTCTGGGTGTCGATCAGATGAAAACATGGGGAAATTGAAAACTTCAAAAAGCTCAATCAATGAAGCCTTTGAAAGAACAGAAAAAAAGTAAAGAAAGGAATCATCTTCATAAAGTTACAATTACCAGCAGTCCACCATTTTACTTACCCCCATCAATTTTTTTTTTTTTTTTTTTTTTTTGCTACCCAAAAAGTATACTTGATGATTACCCTTTTCTGTTTTTGACCTGGCTGTCCATTCTGTACAATTTCCATTGTTCACACACTGAAACAAAGGATAGCTAGGAATTGAAATTGGTTTTCTTCTTTCTCCTTGTTTCTGATTGACAGAGAAATGCTCCCCTGTAGCTGATGAAGCTACAAATTTTACTGCCTGATTGCCTAAATACAGCAAACCAGCACACCAGAGGCAGGAGATGGAGATGTGATTTCTCAGTGAGGCATTTCATCGAACAGGTAAGAGAAACTGAAGCTCCACACCACCACCCACTTACCAATAGAACAACCCCAAGTGTGACAAGACTCTTTGTACACACATTGTTGATACTGTTATCACTATAGTGGGAATATGGTGGACAATTGAATTATGTGGCTTTGTACCCAAAAAAAATGTGATCAAATCACAGAATATGAAAGAAAGTACAAAAGGGAAAATCAGAAACAAATTAAACAGATGGTAAAAACACATCAATATACTACTACTGTTCTTTCTCTATCTCACTTTTCCCCCCTTTCTAGCATGTAAAAAAGTTGGGAGACACATATTGGACCCATGAAAGGGAATATATCAAGTATTGTTTTTTTTCAAATGGAGATGGACCCAAATGAACAGTGATGTTATACAATAGCTTCCTGTCCTCCTGCTGGCTGTATTTCTTCACTGGTCTTCTTTCTCAAGTGATTGGAACAAAGAATTGAAACCCATCAAAATTAAAGGCCAGGGGGAACTGAATTGGGTCTGGATTGTGACACTAGCTAGGCATGCCAAAACCCTCCCATCCACAACACAGTTTTTGCATTAATATGCTAAGTTATGCATTATTATTCAAATAATTGTCATGTAATAGTGGATATTTGATGTTAGAGATATTTCTCAAATCACTAGTTCAGTTGTTAGTGGGGGAAAAAATCTAACTGCGTCCTTCCGACATCCTGGTGATCGTACAACTTCTTTTCGATCTATGATTATTGAATCACGCTAAGATTTTCTAACACCAACAGTAGTCAGAATTATAATCAAATTGTTGGAGAAATGCATAGTAGGAAGCAGAATGATTGTGGATATGAAAAGTGAAGCTACCCATATATATTTTCTTAGCAGAATACTGTTTGATCCATTGACCTAACCAAACCCCCCAAAAGAAACCGTTTAAAGTGAGAGGGGGAAAGGAAAAGGGAAGTTGAAAAGCAGGTGGTGTGCATGCATGGGAAAGGCTAGCTAGGGTTCTTGCTAATAAATTTATAAAATATGAATGAATGGATTAATAAATTTAATTATTGTTTGCCTTTTTTCTATCATAGCTAGATAGCTAGGTAGTTTAGTGGGTTTGTGTGAAAAAGTGTAGGCTTGTGATTGGCAAAATCATTAGTAAGTATATTCTTCCCTCCCTACAGAAATATATTTTTTATTCTACTAGGGATCGATGTATCTATTCTATCTAAATAGTAAATAGGAAGAAATGGGTATATGTATAGGATAGGGAACTTTTTTCCCTCTTTTCTTTTGTTTTCATGAGTTTTCCTAGTTCCTAGTGTATGTATCCGATGCAGATGAGTCGAGTGAAATTTTGATGTAGTTTGGGTATAATTCTTTAGTAAATTAGCTGAGCTCAAATTTGCCTCGTTTATCAGAAAATTGAGTCCAAACTAGGTAACTCAGCTTACTTATTGAAATTTTGACTCGTATTTGACTTGAACTCAACTTGACATTAACTCATTAATGAGCAGAGAGTTCAACCTCAACATCGAACTCGTGGATCATCAATCAGCTCATGATCTTGACTCGAGCTCAAAATTATATTATTTAGTTCACAATTATTATTTAATAGTATTAGTATATAAGCAATTTATAATACATAACTTTTTTTACATTATAAATGAGATATTTTCATCAAGTACTGAAAATACTAAACATCATATGTGGTGAGATATATCATTTTAACAATTCAATTGATAATCGACAAGTCAACTCATAATCTATTGATCGATTTGCTCATAAGCTGTTAGTCGAGCTGGCTTGCTAACTACAGTTTGAGCTAATTCAAAACGAGCAAGCTAACTAGTTGAGTTCAACAAGGCACCAAACCAAACTAGCTCACAAGCCTTGCGAGCCGAACAAGACATAGCTCAAACTCGACTCATTAATAAACGAACCGAATGTTAAATGAGTTTTTCGCTTGAACCGAACGTCGAACTGCTCGACTCATTTACCGCCCTAGCTAATGGTATGACATATGTAGTTTGCTTGCTTGCTTTGGTACGTAGGGGAATATTAACTAGCTAGGGTCCTACATGGAAATATATATTGTGAAGGAAGTGGGGAAATGCAACATAATTAATAATTAAAAGAGGGGCAAAATTTAAATAAGTGAAGGAAGAAAAAAAAAAAGAGAGGGGAAAGGACAAGCAAGCAGCAGAGTCGCAGCATCACATGACTTTATTAGTTGGAAGCTGAAGGGATACCCCATTGGAATTGGGTGGATCCATGCCCATGTTCCCTTTCCCTTTTCCTTAAAAAATATAAACAAATTTTTGACAGCAAATCCTGGAAAAAATAATAATATTTAGATATGTCTTGTTGATTCCAAATACTCTTCTTTACAAATTTGTTATTATTCATTACCACCCAATTATCTGGAATAGTACACCCCATCCCATTTGTGTTAATTACTAATTAAAAATAATAATTAATATGCCCGCATTTGCAAACAACGTTTGTGGGAAGACTTTTTATTGGTTCAGAGGGGAAGAAAATGAAATTAATTAATTAATAATAATCCCATGATAATGGGAATTAAAAGGAAGAAGAAGAAGAAGAGAAGGGTGAATCTTCTTCTCCACATGCCTTCATGTTTTAGCTTCACACTAGTCCATGTGCCCTCCCAATAAAACCATAATTAACAAAAAGGAGAAGGGGGAAAAAATGGATTTCCATGTGCCCTTCCTAAGGGCTCCTCTACCCTTTCTGTTTTGCTTCCATTTGCTTTGGTTGGTTTTATGTTACTAATTAGACATGGTTAGGATCTATCTATCTTATGATTTGATAATATTTATAGTTATTTGCTTGATTTCCAGATAGAGGGAAAATGTGTAGTAGTGTGATTGTGATTTATCAACCACTGCCCTCCGCTAGGGCCAAAATTAAGAAAATAAAAATAATCAATGTCTTTTTATAAATAAATTAAAAAAAAATGTTTTAAGGCTGTGGTAGTTGCTATGCTATTGCTAGACTCTTCTTGACTTTTTCCCAAATACAGGTATTGGGCCCATTGATCAGAACCGTCCATTTCGCCCAATTTTATTTTCCTCCAATTGGACCCCTTTTCCTTTCCTTTGCTGTGTTGGTTTGTGGGTTATCTATTTCTTTCTGAACTCTCTAGGAATGATTAGGGGTGGTAAATGGTTAGTCGGTTATGAGTTTTAATTGATAATTGAATCGGTAATGATGGTTAGTGTGAGCTGATTATCAATGGGTTTTTTAGTAGTTTGGTTTTGACCAGCTGTATTTTATTTAGTGGTTAATCGCTAACCGAGTAATTTTGGTTGGTTATTAACCGATAAGAAAACTTATAATTGCCTACTGGAATAACCATAATTTTAGAAACAAAAAGTCACAAGATTCAAAGCCAACCAATATTGCAATTCTAAACATCTCAATTCACAACTATTGCAAACAACCATCCACTCAAAGTTCGCAAGTATGTTTAAGAGTAAGACGAGAAATTCACCCCTCTCCTACTCTCCTATGCAGGCGATAGAGCGAACCTCACACCCAAGTAGTCTTTGTTTCTTTTTTTTTTTTTTTTTTGTGAATGATGATGATCCTGTGGTGCTTGTCTTTGATGTCTTGCTAGTTGTTACACGCTAATTGTATGCAAACGTTTGATTATTTGTAATTTTAAGCGCGGAATTTGGAAGTGGAATATGATTTCACGATGTTGTATTGTATTGATGCTATTTCTTATTATTATTGTATGTTAACAAGGTAGAATTATAGTTAAATTGTTTTGAATTATTCGTATGATTATACTTTATTATTAGAAAAGATACCATATATAATTTCAAAATGAGAAAAATAAAAATGTAACATGGGGAGGTTGTTATTAGTTATTGATTAATCACAAAACTACCCACGAATCTAACCGATGATGTGCGATTCAACTAATAAACCTTATTTGTTCGATTTTTGTATGCATTTTTTGCTTATAAATTAACCACTAATCCCAAATAAATTAGTGATTAACCGAGATCAAACCAATCAGCACAAATATCTTCTTAATTTGTTCCTCTGCTGCCTGCTGCCAACCACTATTCATTTTTCCCTAAACTTTCAGCTTCAGCATGGCCTACTACTCTCAAGTCTCAACCGACTTCCAAAATATAGCTTCTTTCTTTCCGCACGTTGAAAATGGCATCATTGTCCCACAGAATTGACGGGTACCATTCGCCAAAATTTATGTTCAAACCTCGAGATCAATTGTGTAAAATGGAAATTATTTAGGTGAAATTTTCAAGACAAGAGTAAGAAGAGTTTAATTGTTTTTAGTTTTTACCCATGTTTTTGCCCGGCTTCTGCATCTAACAATAAAGGGAGTCCAAACACATTAGGTTGACGAGAATACTCACACACAGATGAAATAGATCAACTCGAAATTATCACCTTAACTCTTAAGTATAATATTATTTTAGATAAACCTCATATGTTTTTTTACTTTTGTTTTCCATTCATCTATATTATATACATCCCCTGTGTTTCCATATTCCAAATAACCATACAAATGAAACAGATGAATTATGCAGTCAAGAGCGCAATTCTACGTAGAAGCATTTTGATGGTCTAAAAACATAAAACCTTAAACTTTAAAGTGTGATTTTGATTACAGTAAATGAATATGAAGTAGTGTACGTATAACTCTTCATTAAAAGAAAAAGTGTACAATCAGTGGCAGTTTAGTACTCCGTTTATCTTATGTATCCAATTAAAAAAAAAATTTGTGTGAACTTTTATATGATTTCTTTTTTTTTCCCCCCTCCATTACTGCAGTTGTTTGGAAGCCAAGTTTTGATGGTGAGTAAGAAAACGACTGTAAGGGATAAGGAGCAGCAAATGGATGTGGGGTTTAGACTTTAGAGATATAAAATATATGTACGTATTTGTGTGTTTCTTAGTTAGTGATAATAATCATCATAACCCAAGATTCTTATTTATTGACAAAAATAGGAGTAGCTAGGAGCAAAAATAACTCAAATTTGAGTGAAGTGGGAGCCTTAGTAATAGTGAGAAATGATGATATTCAAAAGGAAAGCTGTGGGGCTAAAAACATTGATTGGCGACATATTTGGCTTAGTGATCCTTGCGAATTATAGAGAGGCCGGCCTTATCTATGTTGGCGACATTCACCATACCACCATCACTATTTAATCAAAGCTTATATTCAACAAGAGCTAGATAGCTCCCACTCTACTGTTGCCACGGATACGAGGGGTTGATTCTATGGCTAAGAATGATGAGTTGTAGCAGTACGTGTTGTAATTAGGACTGGAAGTTTGGTATCGGTATTTGGGATATATCGAATACCGTACCGAATTTATCACTATTTGGTATTATCGAATATCGGTTTATTTTTTAGGGATTGGGATTGTGATTCATTTTGGAGTGCTATTCGGTATTCGGGATTACGGGATTGGGATCGGTATATACCAAAAATACCGAGAAATACCGAAAATTAAAAATTAATTAAATATAGCACACAACCTTTAGTCATTCCTCACTTTTTCACAACTTAGAAGACTCCATCCAACTCAATTTTGACTTTCCAGTTGTAGTCACTCTTGTCTCTCACCTAATCTCTTTTTATTTTCATAACACCAAAAAACAAACACTAGTATAGTCGTCTCTCAGCCTCCAATTCCTCAAATTAAAGATTACCAATGACAATAATTTGAGATGTCACATCTCCTCCATTCTCCTTATCCATATCATAGCTCTAGGCTAACTCAAGACTCTTTGCTTAGTCTCTTTGCCCTAAATTAAACAATCAAATCTAATTTATATTTTGAATTATTAATTACAAAGGCAATCAATTTCGTATTCGATAATACCGATTGGGATACCGCAATACCGATTGGGATACCGAAATATTTAGGGATTGATATTGAGATACCGAAATTATTTGGGAATTGGGATTGGGATTGACTTTAGGGTGTAATTCGGTATTCGGGATTTCGGTATTTGGTATTGGGATATTGATACCGTACCGATTTGCACCCCTAGTTATAATTGTATTTGTTGAAAGTTGGAGTTGTTGGTACTACTAACAATAGTAATACACAAATCTGAGTAAAGAGGGTTGTTATGTCGCTCTAAGTAAAGAAATTTGTAGTATGCTTTATTAAGTTTGTCGTCTGCTTTAAGAAACGTGTGGAATGCATCAAGAGATTTGTGGAATGCTTTATGAGGTTTCTGGCCGGTTTTAGGGAATTAGTGGTCTGCTTTGAGTTTTCTGGTATGTTATAAATTTGTGGTGCGGTGAGGTTCTTGTCTGCTTTTTAAGATTTATGCTTTGCTTTATGACATTTGTGATGTGATTTATTATGTGTTTGGTCTGTGTTTTGAGGTTTGCGTAATACCTGTGGTGAGGCGCGAGACACAAATTTATGCATAGCGCCACAAGCATGTGTCCCCGAATTTTTAATAGTCACAAGCGTACCCTTCATTTTATAAATTCATTTTAATTAACCCCTTAATTTAAAAATTCATCAAAACAAGATGTTTCTATTGGCTGAAACTAGATTAGTTGCAATCAATGTAGTCAAATCGCGATTTAAAGTTTAAAAGATTAGGCTTTTACGCCACACTTCTAGTCCACCAAAAACACTTCTATATAGTATCGCGGCGAGGCGCTTTTGACGGGATTGTTTGCAACACTTGACATCTCCAAATCCCCACTGCATAACTCTACTAACCAATAATAATACATTGGTACAAGTAATGACTGTATACGCTCTTGTATTGAAACTTTTAGCTGATTTTTACATCTAGAAGAATTAGGGGACGACGTGAAGTGACGGGCCATTAAAAGAATGAATGAATAAATGCGAGTTGTATATACTCAATTACAGAAGCATATCAGTCTGCCTTACACTTGTCCGTAAGAAGGAACATCGTTCCTCTGGAACTGGAATTTGTATCTTTCCTTGTCAAAAACATGCAGGTGATCCTGTACAAAATGCATACTGTGTTTCAGTTTTTCTAGCCAAAATGCATACCGGTTGACTGGAAAGAATCCGAAAGATTTGGCAGCTTGAGAGTTGCGATCACACCAGCTGCGAACGAGGCTACCGAAGCAAGGACAAAGGCAGGTATGTTGCCTCCACCGAATAATGCGTCCCATGGACCCGCACCAAGGGATACAATCATCTGAAGACAGACCAAATCAATACAAGCGATCAGCATTGTGCAGAAAGATACCGAAGCAAGCAATGGAAAAGATTCATTTATCTACCTGAGGAACAACAATTGCGAGATTGAGAACTCCGATGGCCAGTCCTGGAGTAACAGAAACAGAATTAGGGATGATGGACTTTTGTGCTGGTATTATGTGGAGAAAGGACAGACAGATGGAAAGTCGAGTAAGAGTACAAACCTTGGCCACCACCAGAATCAGCTGTCAACTGAGCTGTGACCGAGAAAGGGACGCTCAACGTTATCTGTCAGAGAGCACACGGTCAGTAGATGCTTGCAGAGAAAGAAACCAAATATGGAAGATCTTGCAAGGGGGAAGTGGTGCGTACAGCAAGAGGAAATCCAAGAAGAGCAAAAACAACCAAGGAAGCTATCTTGATCGAAGAATTCCCTCCAATGACATGTTCAATTCCTCTGGAATATTCACCGAGAGATATCATGCTAATGACGGAAGTACTGGCCATGCAGACAAAGACAATGAAATTGCTCATTGCCCATACAAGTCTTGCCCCCATCTTCTGACACATTGGTTCAATGAGGAAAGAACTGATACCAAGAACGACCTGTTCCGAATTTGAAGAGAAAGCAAAGAATTAATAATAGAAAGGAAGAGAACAGAATCGAGATGATGTTTCAAAATGATTTGAATGCACATTTTCCAAAGTTCATTCCACAAAGTTGTAATGAAAGCAGTAGATCAGTGGCATCAACACTGAAAATCATGCAGTAAGGAAAGAAAATTCCAAAGGCAGCCTCATTGATATCCTAATGCTGGCCTGAGGCCTCAGTTCCATACTTTCTTACTCTTCAGACGGTCATTTTGGCAGAGGCAAACTTTTCAAACTTGTGTTCATAAGAATGCAAGGAAGAACACAGTCATGTAACTAGTAAAACAACTGAGGTAGGGAGTTGGACTGATAGTCCAATATGTCATACTGATGCCTAGGCAAGTAGCTAATATGCTCAAATTCGAGTTCTTACAGAGTTCAATAGCAAACCAAATGCACCTTCTCTGACACCTTGATCATACAAATTAATCACAACGGCATCCCCCTTTGGATCTCCATGATAAACTTCTCTGCCCATCCAGTCAGTGTCAAAAAGAAAGAAGGGGAACCAGGATAACTGCAGATAAAAGAGACATCTAAATTAAGAGAAACGTAATAGCAGTTGCCATGAACGAACATGTATTTGGTATAATGCTAATTTGAAATTTACCACAAAGCTCCAAGAGTAACTGACAGATAATTGCACAATTGAAATCCTTACCCATGTAAGAGCCATAACAACAAGTACTGCATGCATCCCAGGGGGTAAATGCCTCAAACTGGTCAACAATTTGACGAGAACTGCTCCAGGGCCATCATCAAAACTTTCACTCGCGCCATCCACTTGTTCAACATGATTATGAATATAGTTCTTCTCATACCCATTTCCTGTATTTTTCGCAATATGATTCCCTATGTGTTTATTATCAGAATCGAATTTTGATAGTTCAATGCCATTCTGTTTAGGACTACGCAATAATGGAGCATAATCCGATGATCCACGAGGTTGACTTGCACCGAGTGGGACTTCATCAGCGAAATAAAGGGTAACAAGTGTGCAGAGGGTTAGGAACACCTGCAAAGACATCACGTACAAGTACTCATTCTCTTCAAGAAGTCTTCAAAGTGAAAGAAAGAAAATTATTTCCAAGGTCAGACAGTTCCCAAATATCTCAACACCAATATAGTTTTTCAGCAAGCTCAACCCATTCGAAATGCATTCCAAGAAATTTGTAATATAGAAACTCTTCTAATTATCTCTGCCGAACTGTCCATAGAACTATATTGAGTGGGAAGCTAAGATAGAAGCCAGATTAACAGATAACTGCCCGATATCCAGGCAACCAGAGCACAGCTTAACAGTTGGAGAGAGAAAAAAAAAGAGCATAGCTTAATACTAAATTCAGAGGCAATTGGTTCCCGGAGGAAAATATGTTCTCGTTTGCAGTCGCATACCACTGCTACAAGAAATGCTGCTTTAAGATTTCCACAAGCTTCGCAACAAGCTCTACTCATCAGAAAAGGAAACCACCTACCAAGAAGTGATCATCAGAAAAGAACAATGAACTAGGCATCTGAATGAAAAATATCATAGTGTAACGGAAAAAGTATACTATGAAGTATCTTCTGCCTGGTCTAACATTTCTAATACTTCATACTCAAATAGAAAGATATTGATGCTAAGCACAGAGATTTTCAAAAAAGACGTGGGTGCATGCATTTGCTCAAAGAATTGTCAGTACCCCAGACAAGCTTTTATTAGTTTTACCTGTTCCAACTACCATTAGCACCAGCAGAAAATCCTAGAATGTTTCCAACAGCCATCCACAGACAAAAAATTGCATTTGATGTGTTGCGTTGATCAGGGCCTAAAACAGATGATATCACAACATCAATTATTTGTTAATAGCATCATATTGAACCCAAAACTCAACATCTTTGCCCACCAGAACACAGTAAAAAGGAGAGGCAAAAAGAAGGGGGAAAAAAAAAAGAATAGAGCTTAGGTAGAACCTCACCTGATAAGTCAGCCAAAAGAGCTCGAGCTGGTCCCTGTACTAAAAAAAGTTAAGGTCGCCGGCTTGCTCTGTCTTTTTGACAAAGAATTGGAGGTTAATAGAATAGAAACCATGTCGGGTGAACTTACCTGAACTGTATTATTAGCAAGATCCAGCATCCAGAAACCAATAATGAAGACAATTGCCGCCCCAGTTCGAGTTCCTTTGAATGTACTGCATACCCAACAGGAAGTTGGTTAGTCTTAAGCTCATATCAATAAAAAAGATCCAATGCAAGAAACTGAGAGGAATAGCAGAAACCTGCAATGCTCCTTGGTATCGCCTAACAAATACCCTATGTCTGCAGAAAATCCGATAATTATCACCTAAATTCGCAACACTTAGTTTAGCTGAGCAGAGATTGCAACAACAAGATAATAAAATGTGGAGCAAAACAAGAATGCTCACGGCAATGGAGATCATTAGTGATCCTGCAAGAATGTAAGGTCGTCTCCTCCCATATTTTGAGGAGCACTTATCACTCCAAATACCAACACAAGGTTGCACCTATGAACAAAAAATATAACAGCCAGGGGAGGCAGCCCTTAGTTAAACATAAATGAGCAATATTTTGTATTCGTTGCTACTTTGGTAAACAAAAGACTGCCCATTTGAGTGATGGGATCCTCAACAAATAATTAGGCGAAAAAGTATGAGGTCCAAAACAAGCTCCAAGTGCAAGAATCCTAGATTTCAGGTTGATCAACTTACCACAAGGCCTGTGATAGGGCCACAGAGCCAAATGAACGATGAGAAAGCATGCTCTATTCCAAGTGTCTGCAGGGCAACAGAAGCCCAAGGTTAACAAGAAGATGGAAAAGCTCATAATGAACTGAATTCGAAGCAAATGCACCATTGACATTATCCATTTCCATAACCGTCAAATTACAGCAATCTCAACGATGAATGCAAAAACCCTAACGCATTCGGCTTGTAGAATTCAATTACGGAACAGGAAATCTTAACTGGAACTAAAAATTACTCAATATACATACGCGTAATAATACACAAGCGATGATCCTCACTTGCCTGAATATATGGAGTCAGGAGAGAGAGCTGCAGCGCCCAACCAAACTGAACCCCTGCGGCGACCGTACAGCTGAGAACAAGAGTAACCAAGCTACAATGCTTAGGCGCCTGTGGTCTGGCTTCGGTCGTCGGCGAGGAGAAATTGGGGTTGGCGCCATCAGGAGTCACTTTCGACGATCGACGAACGGGAGAATCCAACTCGATCCGGTGATTCGGTTGCAGGTCGAGATCATCCATGCTCGCCATTTCCACCTCCTCATCCTTCCTCAGGTTCTTGCACGGAACCCGAATCGACACCGGATCCATCATCGACCTCCTCTCCTCTCCGCTGGCTTATTATGGTGATTCTGTCAAGTGTCAACTGCTCGAGCATTTGATGTCGCAAGTTTTCCCAATTAATACCGACGAGATTCGACCGCTCCCGGCAGATCTGACACGACTCCGGCAAAGATCTTCCGTTCCGTCAAAATTCTTTTGGGCGGGTGCAGTGAGAGAGAGATTGCTGCATTCGAGCGAGCCAACAAAACGACCGAACTGGGCGAGAGAGGCTACGGCGCGTTCGGTTCGAGCATGAATTCTCGATCCGGTGCATCGTGGAACCATAGGATCGAGTAGTCGCACGAGTAAGATCGACGTGAAGGCGCGAATCGACTACAATCTGCCCGTTGGATTCATTTCCTGGAACTTTCTATTACTTTTCCGGTTTTCCCGCAGAAGGATCGCCGCTGATGTGAACCCCGCCACCGCCACCGCCGCCGTGGAGTCAATTAGTATACGCTTTGGAAAATTTTATTTTTCTTACGTCGCACACTAATGGACTTGAAAGTTGAAACACGTGACCACTTTAGAAAATTAGCGCTTGCTAATTGTCGTCCTAACTTTTCTACAATCGTCCTAATTAACAAATTCAAATTACACTTTTGTCCTCACATTCTTTATATTTTTAAAAATATTTTATTATAATAAACACACTCGGAAAAAATTGACGGTCGTAGTATTCGTCGCCACCACTACCCGCCAGATTGCCCCCTTCCTCAACCAGCAACCCACTTTGGTCACCGACAGTAGCCCGGCCGCCCCCTTCCTCTCTGTCATACCATATTTGGTATTAACATCATTAACCCACCATTCAATCCAATTTTGCTTCTCAATTTTTACATAAGGGACAACGAACGAAATAATTGAGAAGACCTGGTAGAAGGGTCGACGGCAGGATGGAGGAGACGCTCTGTCGCAATGGTGAGAATGATGATGATAGTAGGGTGCGCTGCTGGAGGAGAACGACGATAAGAGGATGGAGGTGGGCGGATTGGGTTGGTTGCAGCGGAGGACGTCTGCGGCGTCAGATTTGCTGTCTTTCGGCGGGGGAGAGTTCCAACGACGACAAGAGGACGGAGGCGGCGGGATTGGGGTGGTTGCAGCGGAGGAAGTCACCGGTGGCTGATTTGCTGTCATCCGGGGGAGAGTTTTGTGAATTAAAAAGCATTTTTTTTTACTGTTATGTAATTTCAACAAATTAGTTAGGGCGATATTAGTAAAGTTAGGGCGCCGTTTAGCCGTTCAGGAAAATTAAACTTGCTTGCAGGAGTTATAAAAAAAACTTGCAGGAGAATAACGTTGAGATATTGGTTCGGTTTTCGATTTAAATCGAAACCGTCAGTGTAATGTAACTAGCTTATCATTTTGAGTTTTCGGTCAAAATCTGTTTGTATGTCAACGAATTTAGTCTTGTGATAATCTCATGGTTCTGGTGGAGAATTACAAATTGATTTTGGTTCATTCTAACCAAATCCAAAATCGATAAGGAGAGTTTTCGATTTTGATTTTATTAGGGAAGTGCAAGTTTTGGTATTCAGTTTGGTTAACCGAACCAACACCCCTAGGCCCTAGGGGCTAGGGGTCATTATCATCTCAAATATGTTGTGATAGATGAAGGGTATTCATCTTATAAGGTATATATATAAGTGCTTTGAATTCGTGTCAATAAACTGAATAACAAAATGTGCTCATCAATTTGCATTTTGCCCTTTCGATCTTTTATATCACGTGTTTGATAGTCAATTTCCCACCTTCCACAGACGGAATTATTAGTAACTCTGTCATACTCATCAGTCGTCAACAAATGTTTCTACGTAACCCTTTTGTTACCGGACGGCTAAGCAGGCGCCAGGCAGTACGAGTTTCTATACAAAGAGTTCTTCAATTCAGCCACCAACATAAGCTTCTGAGTTCTAGAGGTTGACCAACTGGGACTGAATAGGGCTCAATGCTGGGCAGCCCGGCTACCCAAATCAGAAGCGTAATCAGCAGCCCGATTCAGAGCTCCCGAGACCCACAGAGCGCCCTTCGAGAAGTAGCTACTGCTGATCACGGTGTTTGCTGCTGATGCTGCTGTTCTAGCCGTGGCAGATACTGCTGATTTGGTTGTCTCTGTGACATGGTACTTGTCGTCCACGGCTTTGACAGCTTCCATTCCGGCAAAGAGCTTGTCAGCTAGGCCGATTCTCTCAGTGAACTCGGCCACCTTTGCTGTTGCAGTCGCTGAAACTTGATGGGACTCGTCGAATTCTTTCGCTTTGCCAAGTGCATCTTTCCCCAGAACGTATCCCATTGCTAGCATTTCTTTCACCACTTCCTGGGCCTTTGTCACTGCTTGTCCTGCATCGCTGGTGAATTGCCCTGTTTGCTGGTGTTGCTGCTGTGGAAACAACAGGGTATGTTACTGAAAGAGTTGGTATGGGATCGATTAACCCAAGCTTCAAAAAGTGTAGTAGATGGATATCAGAGATGTTCTTACAGTCGATTCACTTTCATTAGCCGTTGTTGTTGAAGGTTTGTTCCAAAAATCGAATTCATCTTCGTAGTGTCCCCAGCGTGTTATGCACACTCGTTCATCCAAGATGGTGGCACCCTGAAGTCACAAGAACAAAAAAGAAAGATGCAGGAAGAAAATGAATTTTGTCACAGAGTGATAAGGGAAGGTATTCTGAAAGAGTAAGCGTCAAGCTCCACTTGGATAGCTCGCTAAAATGAAAACTACATTGGTCATGGAACAAACCCAAATGAACAAGAAGAGACTCCAGCGCAAGTGGACATCTTGAACTTATCAACATCCATGCACAAAACAGGACTCTTTCATGTGTGTTGTAATGCAACAAACGGGACTAAGCAGTTGCCTCAGTAGAGATTGCAACGACTTCATTCATGCTGGCAACCCAATTAACTAGGACAACTGCAAGACTTAATCTGGTTCATGATCCTGTCTATACTACAAGGCATTAAGAAAAACACTTGCATTGCAACAACTTCATTCATGCTGGCAAACCAATTAACTAGGACAACTGCAAGACTTAATCTGGTTCATGGTCCTGTCTATACTACAAGGCATTAAGAAAAACACTTGCATTGCAACGACTTCATTCATGCATGCAAACCAATTAACTAGGACAACTGCAAGACTTAATCTGGTTCATGGTCCTGTATATACTAAGGCATTAAGTAAAACACTTGCATTGCAGGAACCATGTAAGCAACACTTGTCAATTGAGCAACAGATGGCTATTTGTTAGGAAGCAGATCAATAAACTAACTCTACACCAGTTGAAGCGAACACAATTTAGAATTGAGCTCCCATGCTCCCAAACTAGAAAGTAGGAACCCATCATACTGTAGCAGCAAAAGAACTAGCTCACTGCCGGACTATGTAAAGCAGCCGTGTTTTAATCGACAAAGTAGATGATTCTCAATTTGGTAGTGCACAGATCAGTATACCTAACTCTATGCCAGTATATGAGAAGACGAGTTTGAACCGTGTTCACAAGCAAGAGAGTAGGAACTCATTACACAATAACAAGAAAAGAACTAACTCCCAGACAAAAAACCAGTAATGTGTATCAAAGTTGGGAGAAATGCTTACACTGAGCAGGACAGCAGTCTCCTGGGCATATGCATCTTTGAATGTCACATAAGCAGTACATGCGTAATCACCAGACCTATTCATTACACAATTAGAAAAGCCAAAACCCACAAAGAAAAATAACCAGGTTGGAAAGAAGAAGAAGAAGAAGAAGAAGAGAAAGAAAACCAGAATGTTTCCTCTCTTCTGATTCTTCTTCATTTTCTTTTCTTCTTGCTTTCTGTTTACCTGACGATTTCAACATGCTGAATAGCGCCGGAGAAGGCAAAAAAATCATGAACATCCTTCTCCGTGGCTTTGGGAGTAAGCCCCGTAACTTCAACCATATACCCACCTTCGTGATTCATGATCTCCACCCCAAGCAAAACTAGAAAGGTCAAGAAGAAACCACACCAAGTCAAGCTTCCCCCAAAACCAGAGATTTTTCCTTCATAGCCTTGAACCAACAATTTAATTCACAACCCAAGTTAAAGACAAAGCAGCCATCAGCTCGAACAAGAAAACTCCCAATTTCAAAAGGAATCGTCTCCCAAATCAAAAATCGAATCAAAGCTATAATCTTGCTCAGTTATCTCTTTCTACTGGGTCCAAAACCTCGGAGGGGAAAGAAGCCCTCGACTTGAACACAATCGAAAAATTGGAATATGGGTATGCGAGGTATGGATAAGCGGATGGAGGAAAAGGGGCAGAGTAGGAAGGTGTGAATACCTGGTCAGAGATCCGGCTAGGGAATGGCGGAGGATGCAATGGAGGCCGGTGGATCTTAGCGTACGAAGGAGAAAGGAAAGTAACGAGACCAGTTGTTGAAGTTTTTACAAGATTTGGGGAAGGGTTGTTTGGGTTGTCATATGTTATAGTTGCTTAACGGGGTTTGGCAGTTACAAAACTTGGCACCAGCTGTTGTAAGGTTTGGCGGGCTTCGTTGTTTCGCTGCCATTGCGATTAGGGCAGAGTGAGCTGGTTCCAAAATCCAATTGAATTGCTTATTGAGTCAGTTTGGAAAGTGGAGGTGAGACAAGATCAACAAAATCAAAATTGGTCCAAATTTAAGTTCCATACTTCCATTCAACTTGTTCCATTCATCAGTTTACTTTTTAAATATATTTTATGATTAAATCAAAATTCTATTAAGCTCGGACATCTTAAGAAAATCTTAAACGCCTCTCAAACAATTACAATCATCAAGTGGAAGTAGGGATGCCAATCAAACCCATGACCGCGGGTACTCGACTGCCCCCGACTCAGTCAATGTAGGGAATGACAATCAAACCCATGATCGAGAATACTCGACTGCCCCGACCCAGTCAACGCAGAGAATCTCCACATTGACTGGGTATGGGGCGGGTATGGGTAAAACCCTCAAAATGTTTGATGGATATGAGGCAGGTATGGTTTTATCCGCCCCGCCTCATACCCATACCCATGGCGATGCGTCGGCATTGAGCTTTATAGTTTATAGCTTCATACGTCGACTATGCTAACCACCCCCAATTTAGAACAAATGCACTCTAGATTAACGAAGTAGTATAGTGGTGAACAAAGTTGTATTTCTCGAGAACTCTAGATGTACTACTACTTTTGGTCTCAGTCTACTATTTGGCCAAACAAGATGGTTGGAGTTTAAGTGTGACCTAACTGACCAAACCAAGAAGAACAAAGCTAAGAGGAAGATCACAATAGATAGAATATTGTTTAGGTTGAATTCCTCTAACTATAGGTTGACAAAGGTTTTATGCAATGGAAATTCGAGGTGGGAAGGTTACTACGCTGGAGTCAGTGCAGTGGTTATCTCACCTGAACCCCCCACCCCCCTCCTAGCCACATCCACTGATCATTGTCACCTTAGCCAGTGTTCCTAACTAGAGATGGTTATATGCACTATAAATGGATTCTACACGTACGCAAACAAGTCAGATGAGTCATTGGTCATGGCACTCATCTAACATGCACAATCAGGCGAGCTCCTAGTTAGAGGGGGATGGTCACCTTTTCCTCTAACGAGGCCTCTAGATAATCTAATCAAGGTACGGTAAATTCAACATACATCTGCATGGTTGAACCTAGAGCTAATTCATACAATATACCATCTCATGTATCCAAACCATTCATAGAAGCATTAATAACACTGATTAAACACAAATATGTCATGCATACAAACTCATAAACAATCTATAAGCTAGAATTCATCTTCCTAAACAACAAGAGAAGCTAAAAGATAGAGAGAGAAAAAGTGTATAAATGGGAAGAAGGGCAACGATTCATGGTCAGATCCTTCTTGCTTTGGGCACCCTTCTTGAATCTTAAAAGGTTTTGGGTTTAGGATGAGGAAGAAATCACCCAGAACCCCTCCAAACTCGTCATTCTCACTCTATATCTTATCACTCTACCCCAAACATGTCATTTTTCAAGTTTGTCAAACTTTGGAAGATCATAACTTTGTGCTACTCAATCTGATTTTTTTTTTAAACCGAAATATGATCATTTCAATTATTTTCTTTTGCTTAAATTTGAAGGACTACAAAAAAAATTATAGAATTATTTTTTTATAGTATGAGCAAATGTGAAAACTAAATCTAAAGTCATTCTCAAAACCCTTTCAAACCAAAAAAATCATCTTTGGATATTTCTTCCTAATCAAAATTGTAGATCTTGAAAAATTATGTGAAATAAAAAATTGTTATGATTAAACAACTGAGAGCAAAGTTATGATTGTTAGACGTTTTCACCTAGATTGAAGTTGATCGTAGGGGTCGTCAACGATCCAGTGTGGTTTGGTTGGTGTCAGTCGCGAACCATAGTGATTTTATGGCAACTCGTTTGTCTCAGCCGCAACTAGGGTCCTTCGAATGTGGACCTCTCTAGTGTCACCCGAACCATTTCCTAGTTCGCTTGACACTAGAGCAAACAACTCCACACTGTAGTATTTTGGGAAATTTTTTGCAAAGTGTTGTATTGTGGGAATTTCCCAACCCTTGTATTTTGGGATTTTTCCAGGACAAGCACGTTACGTCTGGAAACAGACAGAGTTTATAGTGGTGACCCTGATTTGGCATCGAGACAAACATAATATCATAGTCATTCTTCAAAAAATGCATCTCATAGCTTTCAAAATCTCGAGGGTAAACTATTGAGCAAGTTTGTAAATATTTTTTCATCAAAACACAAAAATGAAAATTACTAGTGCATGGCGGACTGGCGAAGGAATCCGTTTCAGGTTCGTTCGTCTCCTCATTCTTATTTTGTTTTGGGGGCATCGAGAATTTTTTTTTAGTTCTTATAGGGCAGGGTGAGCTTTAGTTTAGAGGGTTTTTTATTTCAATGAAACTGTAACATTCTGAACCTTTTTTCGACCAAGATATTGTATGTTTTAGGTCTAAAACCTCACCGATTTTAGCTTGGGGTGCATAGGTGACTTCTCATAATGTCATCCATCCTTGCAGTGATGTACAACGAGTACGTTTAACTTCGAAGTGCTCACAAGAACTCCTCCATTTCACCCTAAAATGCGTTAAGGTCGGTTTCTTACTTATGAACTGGTTAGCTTCAACTTATTGAGTGTTTTTTATGTGTTTATTTAGGTGGTTAGAAAACTTGATTAATAACTTAGTTGGATGAATCCAAAGAGTTTAGGTTTATCCCCTTCATTGACCCGTCAGTTGGTAACATTTACATGTGATGTCTCTTTTTGGCTTATGCTTGGGTAATGTACTAAAATGTAGGATAAATTTATATGTTTCTCGGTGGTTGGTTTCGTTATACTTCACATATTAGAGAGATTGAAATGTTAGAATCAGACTTTGGGTATGTAGTGTCATTGTCTAGTAGCAGTACACTTGAAACGTTTAAGATATTTAACTAAGCAACTGCTATGTTCATCCCATTTTTATATTGTATAAGTGGGTTTTTGTTATTTTACTATACATGAGAATGGATATCATGGTTGCCTGAACAGCTGAATCAGTCTTTAAATCCTGAGGTATATCAGTTATGATAGTAATGTTTCATGTAAGCTTGAAGAGGCAAATAGGAAAACTTATAATTACTTGGAGGTATTATTGGGATGATGTATTTGTTGTGGTATAGTATTTGGACATTAGTTTGCACTATATCTATGATGCATAGTGTAAGTCTAGTTTTGTAGATGCTTGTTGCTTTTTTCCTTTTCTCATTTTTTTCTTCCATCTAATTATTATCTTCGACAATTCTCTTGCTTTGTGGTTGCGGCCTATAGTGTTTTGATGGATTATTTTATAAAGGTAGAACACATGCAACTTTTATAAGCTTTTGGCTAGGACCACAACATAATGTTTCAACATTTCCAGTCCTCGAGAAGAAAGAAGAGGAAAGATTGCCCGGGAGGGCAGTTCACTTCCTTTTGATGGTTGTTTTATCCTTTTCTCATGGTCTAATAAATTGTTTTTGTCCGTGAAGGTTATTTGTGAGCTTCTCGTCATGTGATTAGTGTGGAGTGGATGAGGTTTTCTTTAGGTGGTCAATATATGTAGTTTCATTTCCGTGGTTCTTGTTTCTTTACCTTCCCTCTAAAACGTTGTGATATTTTTGTTTCAGCTCATTCTGTTGGGGCTTTTCCTTACGAAGTATTGGTTCTGACATCGAGCATTTTGAGAAACTTTTCTCCGTTGGCAATCATTATACTACTTTATTTTACCTCGATCTTTCACACAACTGTCTTGTGAGTTTCCAGGTACTACTATCTCTTCCTAATCCTTTGTTTTCTTGTATATGCATGAGAATCAGCTTCAAGGGAACATTCCAAATTTTTATATCAACTATCTCTTCCTAGTCTTATCATGTAGATTTGTTCAATAGCTATTGAGATTGTTATATATGATTCTTTCTAGTATGTAGGTTTGGTCCAATCAAAAGGCTAAAATTTCGATATATGAGTCTGGAAGAATGAGCCATAAGTTTTTGGATGGACTAGCTAGTTTTATCGAATTTGCAAATAAAATCATCAATATTATCAGGGACATTATCTTGCCCTTTGACGAAGATATGTAAATTTCTATCGACATGTGCAAAATATAGTGGTCATACATATGTTAGAGAATGACTTTTATCCACGAGAATCAATTTTAAGTACTTGGGATTCACATACTTCTTATGTTGTTCCAAGTGATCAAAGACAAGCTAATGCATAAGGGAAACAAAACAATGAGCGACAGATTTTTAAGGATATGGCAACCGAGTATGGTCAAATGGGAGAATCGGAATCTAATGCACCTAGTAATGGGGATGAATCCTTTGCTAGTGATCATGACATGAAGCCACCTATAGAAACTTAGAATGAGGAGGCAACAAACTTATATTATCTACTAGGGCAGACTAATGACATTTTCAGTAAATGTCGGAAACATAGTAAGCTCTCTTTTATTCTTGAGTTATTCCATTTAAAAGAATTCACATGGATGGAATAATAATTCTTTCAAAGAACATTTGAACTTATTAAGGGAAACACTGCTATAAGGAGATAAATTCCCGAGGTCAACTTATGAAGTTTAAAAACTCATCAATTCTTTAGGCCTTGAATACAAGATGATTGATGTATGTCCAAACAAATGTTGTTTTGGAAGACAAACATAGACAAGCAAAAGTTTAGCAAATGTGGGGCTTACAAGTACGAGGACGATGAGATAAGAGGTTCATGTATTTCTTCCAAAAAGAAGAATCAATTATGGTAGAATGTATGTCCTAAAACAACTTATTATATGCGATGGCACTTTGATGAACGTAAAGGTGATGGGTACATGCGACACCCTGTTGATGGTCGTGCTTGGAAAGCTTTTGATGCTAGATACAATAATTTTGCGAAGAAACCCCACAATCTTTGGTTGGGTTTTGCTAGTGATGGATCCAACCCTTTTAGGACTGTTTCTAGCATCATAACACATGTCTTCTAATCCTAACTATCTACAACTTTCGCATTGGATGTGCATGAAGCCATTTTCACTTATTATGTCCCTTCTTATGCCTGGACCTAAATCTCTCGAGGATAAGATTGATGTGTTCTTAGAACCACTGGTTGATGAGATAAATGATTTATGGATAAAAGGGATTAACACATATGACGTCACACTAAAACCAAGTTCAAGTTGCATGCATCATTGTTATGGACAAAAAGTAATTTTCCAGGTTATGGCATGTTGTCGGGTTGGAATAGAAAAAGTAGGTTTGGTTACCCTTGTTATGGTGTGGATACTTGGTGTAAATGGTTGGACAAAGGTCAAAAATTGGTTTTATGGGGCATCATCGACATTTGGCTTCTTATCACCCATTTAGATGAGATACGGATAGGTTTGCTGGAACGGAGGAGGGTACAACAACTTTGGTTCGAATGACTGGTACTCATCTTATGGAATTGGGAGTACAAGCAACTGGTGAACCCATAAAGGATAGGTTTGCTTAATTCTCGTTCTTCGATCATACAAGCAAATGGTGGACCCATAAAGTATGATAACGTTGAGAAGGTTTGAAGAAGAAGAAGAGCATATTCATTTGTTTGCCATACTGGGAGTACAATTTGGTGAGGCATAATCTTGATTTGATGCACATAGAGAAAAATATTTGTGATGACGTATTGAACAAGATAATGAATGTCAAAGGGAAAACGAAAGACAATTTGAAAGCTCATCAAGAACTGGAAGAGATAGGTATAAGATGTACCCTTCATTTTATTAAGCGAGGTAGTGGCAAAGATAAGATGCCCCCAGCTTATTATGTGTTGTGCAAAAACAAGAAAGACCAAATTCTTGCTACTTTGAAAATGCTGAAAGTACCTAATAATTATTCGTCGAACATATATAGTTGTGTACAGATGGATGCAAAAAAGATAAGGGCTAATACCACTGAGAAATTTGAACTATCAAGAATGTGTCATTTGTGTCCCGATTATTCAATATTCCATTTATGTCCCAACGTACGATAGTTGTGTGTCATTTATGTCATGACGATTTTGTTAACCGTTATAGATAATGGTTGATCAGACGGTAGCTAGCATGAATTCGATCAATCGCTATCAATGCTAGAACCCTGGGGATTACGATTGTTGACTTAGGAGCGGAATCGACGGAGTGATTAAGACGATGTTGGGGTTTTTATAACCTTTTATTTTTATTTTTCTTGCTTTAATCATTTTAAATGAAAATATAAGTAAACATTAATATTTAAATTTCCATATCAGATGTCACGTCGACACTGACTGAAGTTTATGTTAAATATTGACGGTAAAACTCGGTCAACACTAACAGAAAAATAGCTGAGGATAAAAATGTCATGTGGACACAAGTAAAACTTTTTATAGCTCGGGTTTTTTATTATTATTTGCCCAAAAGATAACGAGCCTCTAAAGTCATGATTGTCATATTTTACTCTAAGATCTACTTCCTATAGCAGTGAGGGGTTACTTGCATGACAAAGTGAGTAAGGTTATAATCAATTTAAGCACTTACTTGTGAGCGATATGCTCTAAATTTCTTGAAGTAAGTCTGTGGATGTGCTAGAAGTAGAAATCGGAGAAATACTGGCACGTATGGAGATTAAATTTCCACCATCTTTTTTCACTATCATGATACATTTGGTCTATCATTTAGCCGAGTAGGTAAAAGTTGATCCACTATCGATAGATGTACCCACTTGAGAGGTATGTGCTTTTACAATCATAGAAGTTGAACCATGTTATGGTTGAAGAAACATTATTAGAATTAGAAAATTTCCCCTAGTAGCTCCTTTGAGCTCTTAACTAAAATCATAATAAAATATGTTTGCTTCTTAGTTTCCAACCATTAAAAAATATTTTACTGAAGATTACATAGTAATAGAAATAAGGCAAAAACTTTCGCCAAATGTGGCTATTATTGGCACAAACGTGAGAGTTTTGGCTATACAAGTGTATTTTGCCTAGAAATAAGTATATACTATGCTCGTACAACTTAAAGTACTATACTTAGAACAAGTTGTTAGAACTAACATCTCTAGCATACTTAGCAAAATGTTATAAGAACTATCAAGTGAATATGTTATAATTTATGTTGCGTGTCTATTACTACATTTTAAAACTAGATATATAAATAAATAATTGATTATATGTAAAAAAAATCTACCTTTTTATGCCTTTACCATTTTTAATCTATCGATATTTGTTTTCTTAACCCTAAATCGTTTTAATCGTTAATCAAGTTATAGTAAGTAATATTGGCGAATTTTTAATCTATGTAAATATTACAGAATGTTGTTTCATAAATATTTCATAATGTGTTATCTAATAATAAAATAAAATTTTAGAAAGTAATATGAAAGTAACATATGATTAAATTGTTATCTCAAGATTAACTAATCAAGAGCTAATGATAATTTTCTTTTAGAAATAGAGCTAATGTTAAAATTGGATATAGGAGATAAATAACTATTATAGAACATTAATACATTTATATTTTGTGTTATACTGATAAAATCAAAGTTTAGAAAATAACTTATGATTAAACGTGTTCAATATTTTAGAAAAAAATAATTTTGGTTAATAGAAAAGTAATAATTAAATATTTTTCCTATTATTTAGTAATAAACATTAAAATTAAAAGATTTTATTTAATATAATATATTTAATAACCAATATCTACGAAATATTTGTATAATGTTAAGTTGAATGCAGAGAAAAACTTATCGTAGAATTTGTTGTAGGAGAT